AATCATCAAGTCAAAGGTATACCTGTTCCCCAGTGTTCATCGCAGCACTCTTTACAATAGACAAGAGTTGAGAGGAGGGAGGGAGGTTTCGGTAGTGGGCAACAATAATCAACCACATTGTATATCGGGAAAATTAATCAATCAATTAATTAATTAATTAAAAAAGAAGTTGCACACACAGAAAAAAAATAATAAATAAATAAAAACAGTAACAAAAAAAGCTAGTTTCCCAGGAAAAACGTCACAGCAGGGCTGCCTTGTCTGTTTTAAAGATACGTTGTGAAGCATTCTAATTCAGTGTACTCAGCAGGAGGGTCTCCAAGACAAGGGAGATTAATGAATAGTACAGAAAGCTGGGTGTCTGCCTGGGCAGCTACCCGCACCCCTGCCCACATGCCCAGCACCTTGCAGGTTTTGCCCCAGGCAGGCTGATGCAGAACCAAGTCCCACTCGTGCTAACAGTCCTGTTCTCTAAAGTGCACGCAAATCTGTCTCCAAGTAGCTCAAATGTTGATCTCAAGGAGCGAAAGCATCTCTTCCAGTAGGGTCTCACTCCTTTTAATAGCAGGAAAGAGTGCCAAGTCGATTAACGCTCATTGGCCAATCTATCCTGCAGCTACAAACGGCGAGGGCCACTACTGAGAGGACCACACACACACCCCGCCCTCCCCCTGGTCTCCAAGTGGGGAATCCCGCCCAGGCGGTACAGGTACCCGGGCAATACCACTTCCCCAGAGGAGCAGATTAACTTCAACTCGCTCTGCTGCACAAGTCTTACAAGACCATTTATACCACGCCAGCAACCACATGGATCCTGTGAGGAGGATAACAAGAAACAGCCTAAGAAATAGATGATGATCTTGCCAGTACTTGTGACCTAACAAATTTACTAATCTGTAACCTATGATTTCTAGTTGCTGAGATGACGCTTACTCTGACTATAATCTGGCATGCCTACGGAATCTAAGAAAAACCTGCAGCCTATGGTTCAAAAGAAACACCTGGGTTAACACAACTGACACCTTTTATGGTGTAAGCTGGGGCTAAAGTTTCTTCTTTGGGAAATCACATTTAAGGGATGAGAAAAATTATGTATAAAGGATGCATTAAAAAAGAAAACCAAGGGCCGGCCCGTGGCTCACTCGGGAGAGTGCGGTGCTGATAACACCAAGGCCCCGGGTTCGGATCCCATATAGGGATGGCCGGTTCGCTCACTGGCTGAGCGTGGTGCTGACAACACCAAGTCAAGGGTTAAGATCCCCTTACCGGTCATCTTTAAAAAAAAAAAAAAAGAAAGAAAACCAAGTATTAACTTTGGACCCTAGTCTCAGATCTTTATTTGTAGGAGTAATAGAAAGAGCCCAGAAATCAACCCGAACACCTGGGTTTTAGGCTCCAGTCTCTGCCCAGCAGAGTTGCAGAGGGAGAGAACAGATCTAGGATTGTGAAATGGGGTGAGGGAGGGGGGTGGGAGAGGGAGGTCAGGGATTAATCGGGTTGGGGACACGTGGAATAATCGCAATTTGCAGTAATGGGCATGCTGATAGTACTGATCTGGCCATTACATCTTGGGCACAAGTAGTGACGGTTACCTTTGTACCCCATGAATATGCATAACCAATAAAATAGAAAAAATAAAACGGGAAGCTAGCAAAGGGGTGCTGTGCACTGACAGGGAGAACTGGGGGCAGGTAACAGAGGATGGGAGACATTCTATACACATCTCTATGTATCTGTAAACTATACAGATACAACGTTACGCAGTCAGTGACATGTAACTTATCACAAATAAAGTATCCTATGTTGCATAAATGATGTAATACATATTTTCAACCATGAGAGTGTGGTATCTATTTGCATTAAATAAAACCAGTAACTCAGGTGACGGGGACTGCTGGAGGAACAGTCCTTACTGAAACAGCCAGACCGGGCCCTTGTGAGGGTGCAAGCTGCAATAAAAGCCAAGTGCCAGGCGCCTGTCCAGGGGCGAGCTGCGCCCCCTGCAGGCGTGACCCCAGCACAGCAAGCACAGTGGAGCATCTGCATTTTATAACTCAGACACCCATCATTTTTGGCCTGTGACAAAGGCCCAATTGAAACTGCAACTGAACAGTTCTATTTCATGTCACGGATTTTCATGACAATTTGATCACTCAATGCTAACCTGATTATCAAGGGAGGGGCAGTGGGCTTTTTAAAAGGCAACAAAAGCCTTGCCTGTCATGGGACTGTTTAAAAGGCAGGGTTTTAACAGGTCACAATTGACCTGAGAAAGGGGTAGAGACCCAACACTAAAGCACACTCAGCTACAGCAGCTGTACTAGGAAACAGGAAGCCCGAGCGCCCGGAGCTCGCTGATTGCAAAGGCGACAGTCTCCCCATTGGAACACTGAAGCCCCGACCAGACTAGTGACACTTCCAGGGGGATGTTGCTATTGTGGCTGTTCAAGCAGAGTCCTCTTCCAGAGGTACATGCTGAAATATTTATAAATGACACACATCTAGAATTTATTCCAAAATAACAGGCAAGGTGAGAGGAGCAGATGGGGGTACTGGTGAAACAAGACTAGTTAAGGTCTTCAGGCATAAGGGGACAACAGTAATTAATAGCAGTTGGACATAATTTTAAACATGCAAATTATCAGGCTTGGCCCTTGAAAACATACTGAAAGACCACAGACGTGTGTAAATTTCAGCTAATTAAAAAGGTTTCCTTACCCCGAATCTGCTGCATGAGTTTCTATGAAAGAGCCTGCATGAGGAAGACAGGAAGGTGATGTGCTAAGACCCGCCAAGCACACCGGGTCCAGAGGGTCACCAGGATCATACTGCCATTCTGGGGTGGGGACCAGAACCCCCTTATAAACTGGGTGCCTGCTCATCCCCACCTATAGGAACCCCTGTTATGGTTTGAGACATTACTGTACTCATTTCTCACAGCACCTCCTGCTCTCAACTTTCCTCTTTCCCACTAAGTCTCTACCCCCTGCCAAAGCGATGACAGTGTCCCACGAGCACAAGGTCTTGTGACAGGCAGGAGCCCCCCTGCACTCATGGCCTGTTGTCAGCCCACTCCAGGATGGAGTGCAGCTGCTGGGACTGAATGAGTGGGGGACGAAGGAGGCCCCCAGGCTTACTGTTGCTCACTTAAATCTACAGCAGGTTCTTTTCTTATTCAACCAGAACACTCTTCATCAGCCTCTCAACAGCATTTTCTACTACTTACACTGAAACACATGCCAGTTAACTTTAGGTGCAAAATTCTGGCACAGGTCTGGCCAGCTAGGTGGTTACAGTGCTGCCTTATGACGTGGAGCTCATGGGTTTGGATCCCCGTACTAGACAGCCACCAAAAATACATACATACGTACATACATAATTCTGGCTTATTATAAGTTCAGTTACCCCTTTGTGTATACCTATTAGCCTGCATCACCTAAATTCAAAAACATTCAATAGACATATTGAGAAATTACAGTGGCAAACTTTTACTGCCCGTGTGTCTGACCCCCTTATGGCGCAGCCCTGCATGACTAGGGGCAGCCATGTGCACTGTGGTCTCCACAAGAATGAACAGTCTACAGTGGCTTGTGTGCTACCCTGCAGGCTGCTGGCCTCCCAGGGCCTGTCCTCTTCCTGCACAGGAGTACTGTCATCAATGAAAATGCCACCTCAGGTTCATCTTTGCTACTTGGTTAGCAAGAAACACCAGGCTCAGAAAGCAGACGCCAAATCTAGTTTTTGTTCGTTGATTTTATCAGTATACAACAACAGACATCTGTACAACAACCGTGCTCTTTGGAAAGCGCCGTGTCAAGCCTGTCACATGCTGAGTGTGCTTGGACAGCAGCTTCCTCTCTGTCCATGAAGTGAGAGCAGTGCGCTGCACAAAGCACAGGCCACAGATGTGGAGGTTAGGTATGAATGAAGTTCCACCGTACCTAGAAACGTATGAGTGATTAACAGACAAAAATTACACCTAAATGGGGAAAAAAAATTGAAAGGAACCGTCAGCATCAAAGAAAATGAAATGGACAAAATTATACAGGAAGAAACAGCCACACTTTCTAATGGCTATAAAATACCCAACTTGAGATGAGCAGCTTCAACACACCAGATCTATATCAACAAAAATGGTCAGAAAACATTATTTTCACTTATAACAGATTATTCCCAATACCAAAAGTTCTTTCCTTCCTTATTTTCTTTTGCTTGCAGACTTTAACATTACCAATCTCTTGAGAGAGGTGCGTGTTTAGGGACAGAAATGGGATGTCACGACCCTGAGGACCGTGAGTCTGGGCAGGCTGCACATGCCTGGCGGTCCTCGCATTTTGCATCATCAGCCTAAACGTATTTTTAGTCATTTCTCCCCACCCCAACCAATAAAACAAGTCAAAGGCTTCACGAGGTGTTAGTCTGTGTAATTCACTACTTTACGATAAATTATCTGTAACCACTTGGTGAGAATGCTCTTTTAAGAAACTGGGACGTGAGAGGAGACAGAAGGCTCATCAAGGGAGGGAGGACAGACCACAGGGAGAGAAAAAGAAACTGAGGACGCTGAAGTTATGCCCGGCCCCTGCCCTCTGACCACAACCGTGAACAGGCTCATTCAGTGCCCAGAGGGCAGAAATAGCCCAGCAAACACACCAAACACCGCAGATCACTATAAAGTGCCACCTACTCAACCCAATGCTGTGCCCTGAGATAACCCCATCTTCTCTGTCCCCAAACTGCAGTCCAGCCCAGACCTCATCCCCGTGCAGCCCCCTCACCAGCCATCACCACGATGCTGAGCACAGGTGCACCTTCAGCACAGAGTCACCCATGACAGGCCAGTCTTTAAAGATGAACATTTCCATGAGCTTATTCCCAGAGTGGTACTTAAAGGCACATTTTTAAAAAGTGTTGAGCCCTTCTCCCATGCTTCCCCTGAAGGAACCACTACCTGGTGTTAATAAACAGGTTACAGAACCAGGTTACACACTGAAAGCTTCTAATGCACAGTCCACTCCAGCAAAAACAAGGGTAAAAACAAACAAAACATGTCTAGTCAGGTAGAGATACATGTTACAAAAACACCAGGTAATGTTAGAACTCTGACAGCCCATAATATTTTTAATTTTAAGATGCAAGCGAGCTATAAATTTCATGCTTTAGAAAAAGAGTAAATTTTCACTAGTTTTAGGACTACATTAAAGCAGTACTGGATTTTATTTTATTTTATTTTTTTTCCTTTTTGTCTTTTTTTTCGTGACCAGCAACGGATCGCAACCCTCAGTGTCGCACCCGTACCGGACCGGGACCGGCAACGGGATCGCAACCCTCAGTGTTGCACCCGCACCTCGCTCAGCCAGTGAGCAGCCGGTCTGTATGTGGGATCCGAACCCTCGGCGGGAGCGCCGCCGCGCTCCCAAACGGCGCACTATAGCAGTGCGCCACCGGGCCGGCCCCAGCAGTACTGGATTTTAAACTACGTGTCAAACGTAAAGTATCTTGATTTAAGCTAATCTGAGACCACAAATAAAAATCCAAATTCACAGGTAAAACGAATGGGCTGCCCACTCATTTTTCTTTTAAGTTTCAGTTTTCTTTAGCAAACCTCCCCAGTTTAAACTATCTGAGATGTGTATCTGAGATCTCTAGACACACCTTCTGCGTATTCTCAGGCCAAGTACAACTGTAAAATTATGGTTACGATTCCATTATTCTACTCATTAACAAAAAATACCCCCCCTTGGGCCGGCCTGTGGCTCACTCGGGAGAGTGCGGTGCTGATAACACCAAGGCCACGGGTTCGGATCCCACATAGGGATGGCCGGTTGCTCACTGGGTGAGCGTGGTGCTGACAACACCAAGTCAAGGGTTAAGATCCCCTTACCGGTCATTTTTAAAAAAAAAAAAAAAAAACCCCGCCAAGTCTCTTCTCTGCACCTCTTCCAAATACACACACACACAAAAGTTCATGTTGTCAGTTAAATCATTACCTTCAAAGAATTAAAGACGGAAAATAAAGTTGCTCTACTGAACAAGTCTATGTACGTAAGATGAAGCTTAAGAGTCAGAAAAGCATCTTACTGAATATTTATATTTAACACTCAAATCATACACACGGTGTCTGAACAGTTCCTGACACGTTGTCTTCTAGTCAGACAATAACAAATACACATTCTTAACACCACTGACTCAAAGTGGGGAACATTTTAAAAAGCCCAACAGTGTAGCATACACAGGATTGAGCAGCCCCAAAACAACTAACCTTGGGATTAATTTCGGCATCGTCCTCATCTTCTCCCTCCTCATCCCCTTCTAATTCCTAGATTAAAAGGAATGAGAATTAGCTGGAAAGACAGGATATGAACTCCTATGGAGTTGGCTATCTACAAACAAATGAAAGCAATGCTTTGATTTAGAAGGAAGCCAATTATTGCTAATCACAAATGATTAAATCACTTCCTTTAGACACAATTATTTCTGGATAACTTTTTGTTCTCACAGATAACCTGAAATAAACATATTTCTGAAAAAATAGATTTTGTTTGTTAAATAATTATTTTCTAAGATTACTTTCATAAACTATTTGCAGGATCAAACCGACAGACACTGTTGCAGCATCTGCTACAGTACTTGTTTGCTTTTCTAAGAGGGCTGGAAGAGTCAAAGCAGCCTCACATGAAACAGGTGTCAGCCTGGTCCTGAGATTTCACAATCTTCAAGTCAAGAAAGCCAAAGAAAACGCTACGTTAGGGGAATGATGATGCTTCACGTAACCTGTGTCTTACCTCTTCTTCTCCTTCCTCTCCTTCTTCAAACTGAAAAAAGAAAAACAGGGAAACATTTTTAGGTTTACAGACCATGACAGCAGCCTGCCCTAGAGACCAGCCTCATCCCATGCACCCCCACTGTCAGGACTAAGGAGAGCAGAAGGTCCAGCCAGAGCCTGCTGGGCAGAGGGCCGTACTGGCTCCAGTCCCAGTTGGGTGGGGGCATAGTGCTGCTGAGGGTATCCAGGCACAGACACTGCAGGGCTGGGCCTGGGCTGGGCCTGGCCAAGGAGCCATTTGCTCATGAGCTCCGCACTTTAACAGCATGCCAGGGAATGGGAAGTTACTCAGAACAAGGAGCCGCGGTGGGGAGGGGCGACAAAAGAGCCGGTCAGCCAGGGCATGTGCAGGACCCAGCACTACAGCTCTGCTCCCACTGCCTGTTTTGAGTGAAGGGCAGGCAGATGGAAGAAGACTTTGTAAACTAATGAATTTGTGTTCTTTTATCTAAGAAAACCAGTAGCCTAATTTTATTGCATACAAGAATTCGGTATCACTTTACACCTCATACAAGGGGAAAGAAACATTTCTTTAGTAGAAACTTAATGAAACCTTGGTGCTTAATCTTTACAAGTGAAAACCGAAGCGCTCAAAGGAGAACCCAATGTCACACTGGTTGCCTTGAATCAGTCAGTCTCTCCTCAGTCAAGGGTACACTGGGCACTCTCAGATTCGAGCCCCCAACGTGAGAATCACACCGAAAGCAAGCGCAGCCTCATCACCACTGCTCCATAAGCAGTGTACAGGAAGGTGTGACAGGCTTGGCACTCTCAGATTCGAGCCCCCAACGTGAGAATCACACCGAAAGCAAGCGCAGCCTCATCAGCACTGCTCCATATTCCTACTGTGCCGTGTGACCTGGCTCACACACAGCCTGCAGCCTGCACACCCTGCCTTTCATTTGAAGCATCCTAAGTGGCCGCTGACAGGGAAAAGCTTTTCTTGCGTTTAAGGTCAGATCTGAACTAGCCTCAAGTGCCTGTTTCCTAAGGTTCTAAGCATTGCAGCCAAGTCACTCTACCTACGCACCTGCAGCGGCCTGTTTTAAATGTGTCACACTCGCTCAGAGCAGTGGTCTCCACTGCAGCAGTGTACAGGAAGACAGCAAGAGGCCCCCATGTTCACTCCCTGCTCCAACAACTTCTCCGTGTTGATGTGCAGTTTATCATGCACCTAACATGAGTAGAATACTTTTTATACCAATGTTTACTGAGCAATTGCTCTGAGCCAGGCACTATTTTACGTGCTTGACAAGTATTGAGAGTTGTTACCACTAGCTCCATTTTACAGCAGAGGGAAGCGAAGCAGAGAGGTCACACAGCTACCATGGGACAGGATGAGGATGCGAGGCTAGGCTGTCTAGCTTGAGTCCACACTTGTAACTTCTTCACGACACTGCTCATCAGGAGCATATGCACCGCATGTACCATGAGTGAACAAGACACACGCTACAGGCAGGTGCATGACAGTGCTCACCAGCAGTACCCACACCACATACATCCAAAGTAAGAAAATACGCATGTGCTCATATTCAAGTCTTTCAAATTGACAAGTATACAATCAAGAAAGTTAGAAGCCCACTGGTCTAGAGAGGAGCTTCCAACGTGCAGCCAATAGCCCTTAACTAGCTATTTAAACCTATGCCAATTTAAATTAAGCATTCAGTTCTTCAGTCACACCAGCCACATTTCACGTCCTCAAGTCGCACACGTGTCAGTCCTACTGCACTGGACAGAGCAGAGGGAAATCAGAGAAAGTTCTCCTGGACAGTGCTGGTCTAGAAACTGTTGTGTAAAACTCAAGTCTCAGCAACTGCTTGAGTGTTTAAATGACCCAACACTATGCTGAGTTCTGTGCGTCCATGTTTCCCACCCCCCAGGACCACCACCCAGCTTAGGAACGAACCAGCAAGCTGCATTTCCAAGCTTAAATGACTAGTCTTAAGACCTCAGAGCTGACGAACATCGAACTGGCCATTCCTCCCGTGCAGAAGGCTTCAGCACACCGGGAGAGCCGTGAGAAGCAGGACTTTGCTGCCACGGGAGGCCTAGCCACTCCTGCCACCCCATCTGAAGCCCCAAGACCTCTTAAGAAAGGAACCTAACATAGTGTAGCCATAAAATCTAAGAGCTCTAAAAGCAAGAGAATAATCGTCATCTAAAACATAATTCTAGTAATGCGCTACAAATCAAAACTGTTTTCCACAGATTCAGAAGATTCGCGGCAACCTGATTATGACAATGGAGAACTATCTCAGGCTACAGCTAAAGGCAGGCCTGTGGGGCAGTGCAGGGTGCAGTGCTCCCACTAGTTCTAACCGCAGAGGAGATGTCTCTTCCAAGCACAGAGAGAAAAGCGACAGGCACCGTCTTGCCGTTTTCCTTGTGGAGCATGGGTTTATTTCCCTGGGTTGGTATGCAACAGTCCAGCATGAGTCCACTGGCAATAATGGTTTGGTGTGGCCAGATCTCCATGAATGAGATTTTCCTCATGTTCAGAAGTTCCCTGAAGCTTACAGGCCTTACATGGAACACAGTGAGACCCTGGGGCCTTTGGAGGACATTATGAACCAAGTCACCAGCCACAGGCTCGCACAGTCACCGGTAGTGGACGCTGAAACTGCTTCACAGACATCTACTTCTCCTGCTTCCGCTTCCTAGTCTATTTCACCCCCAAGCAGAGCAAAGCAGCCCAGCTACAAATCTGGCTGATGATGTAACAAAAACCCTAGGCTTCGGGGTTTCCCAAGCTGCAATTCCAGACATCTCAGCACTAACAGAGGGGAGCACCCAGGTGGCAGCTGCCCTCATACCCAGAGACATACATTGTCATCATCCTCTATGGCCTCCCCAGTGAAGTAGAGCACGGCCCGCGGGACAATCCGCTCACGGAAGAAGTGTCCAATTTCGAAATCAGAGGCTAATGTGAATTCAGAATCTTCATCCTGAGAGGGAAAAACCTACATGTTAACTCATTTTAATGGGATAAATATAGCAGTTTAACTAACCTCACCCAAACTGTAGCCCTCACTTTTGGTCTGCTTGACTTAGAACACCAAACTTCTGCAGTGCTCGGTGACAGTCACGACATACTCAAAGATACTTAAAACGACATTAAGGAGCTACTAAAGCAAGACAGCAGAGTACGCAGAAGTGCAAGGGCCCAGGCTCCCACACATGCCCAGAGCTTCCAACACAGAAGGAAGGGCACAAAGTCCCAGACACGTGGGATGAGCAGGATTAAAGGACACATGTTTGCTACTGAAGCCAACATACAAAATACCTACTTTTCTTTAACTCGAAAGTGTAATGATTTCAAATTAACCCCGGGTTTTAGGAAGGAGAAATGAATGAAAAAGTAGGCAACCACTTAGGAAATAAAGATTTAAATAGGAAAGCAAGACCTTTAATAACAACACAAATCTTACCAGTGATTCTCCATCCCCAGATGCTAGGGGGGGGGGGAAAAAAGACAAAACATTACATTGACAACCAAAAGAATTTTAAAGCCACCTCAGAGGAAGCTCAGCTGGCAGACAAAATGGAACATTTCACACTGGAAGGTTTTCCACTAGAAAGCACCTAAGCTCTGCACCTCCTCAGGGGTGTCTTTACAAGCTCCACCCCCCCCCCCTCCCCACACTGCACACTGAAGCTGGCCTGCTGCCCTCCATGTCCCCATCCTTCTCCACCTTAGTCATGTGCTGCGGGCTGGGACCCAAGCGTGCTGACAGACCCAGCTACGGAAGGCCCGTTTCAGAAAAGCATTTGGAGACATTTAAGGTATTAACATGAGGAAAGGCATATTAAACGGCCCCAGTCTGTGGCTGTTCAGTGCATCTGTGCCTTACAGGAAGACTTAACTCGTGCCCTGCAAAACTGCACAATGATGCAGGAAAGAGGAAAATCTTACAAGCCCTGAGAATGACCATGGCACTGCATCTCAGCGCAGCAAACACTGCTTTTCTGTCTGCTTATTTCTAAAGGAGCAAGGAGATGCCACAGTGTTCACTGACGACCCTCTGCATAGTGACACAGCTCCTCACTGAAAGCTGATGCTTACACATGGGCTCGATACACACAAGACCATATAGACTTTGGTGCTGATACCGAGCTAATTGTGACAGGAAAGACAGACTTCTAACCACACTCCATGAAGCTGAGCAACATTCAAATGATAAATGGTTCAAATCCCTGATTTCAGAAATGCTTGTGATTAGGCCCTGACTTTCATTGGGAGTTGAATGTTTATTCTGCTTAGTCTCACACCTACCTCTTCAGTTTTCACTGGGATCTCTCATCTGACACCCCTTCCCCACAAACCTTCAGCAGCACTCGCTGTTCAGTGCTGAGGCACGGATGGTAAACATCACCCACAAGGCATGGTTCCCAAGCCTCAGCACCACCTGGGGGTCTAAGACACAGCTTGGGGCGAGGCTAAGAGTCTGAACGTCAGAACAGCATTATCCCCAGGGGACGCAGCACCCTGTGCCATGAGCCCACACAATGACTCACAGTGCCTCACTCTGCTTTTGTAGATTTATAGACAGAGGGAGCTGGATGAGCCATCTAACATTTCCTTCATTTCAAAAAAAGTCATCAATTTGTTTTTTTTCTTGATTACCCCTATAACCCCCTCCCCAGCCCCCTCTATTCTTTTTCATGGCAGTTATCACTTGATCACTTGGTATTACACTATACGTTTATTTGATTACTTTTACAAATAGCTTTAATGAGGTATAATTTATACCATAAAATTCACCCACTTTAAATGTATGATTTAATAGGGCTGGCCCGTGGCTCATTCAGGAGTGTGGTGCTGATAACACCAAGGCCACAGATTCGGATCCTATATAGGGATGGCTGGTTTGCTCACTGGCTGAGCGTGGTGCTGACAACACCAAGTCAGGGGTTAAAATCCCCTTACCGGTAATCTTAAAAAAAAAAAAAAAAAAAAAAAGTACAACTTAATGACTTTTAGTACATTAATTTTAGAGTTGTGCAACCATCACCATAAAGGTTTCAGAACCCCCAAAATCATCCAAAAAGTTCCCTTGAGTCTGCTTATCAATTCCACTTTAATTCTAAAAATCACTTAATCAGTTTTAAGAAAACTTTCTACAAAGCTGCTGATTCCAGGAGTCAAAGCCTCTCTGGTTCATGGTGAATTCCAGTGGAATCATCTCCAACAAGCCCAATGCAAGGCTCCAGAAGTGATCTTTCCAAAAAAAAAAGTTAAAAACTAGCCAATATACATTTGCATCTTCTAGGTTCAAAGTCAAATCACAAAAAACAGCCACTATAATAAGAAAGAAGGGAACAACCCATGAAGGGTAACTTGACAGATGAGAGTGCTAAGCTCAGAGACAAAGCCAAAAAATCAGACATTCAGACTTGAGAATGGGGCCACCCTCTGGCCCTACATGCAACAACCTAAGCATTCACTGATTATCTGCAGCAGGGCCTGGCAGTTCCTTACTTCAAATTATGTTTTCAATCATGGAAAAAGAAGAGAAAATGTTTTTTTCTCATATACATTTTTAACACTGCCAAGTAGTCTGGCCTTCACGTTCTCTCATAATTAGAAAATTAAATTAAGACTTAACAAGAAATTTACTCTTAAAATCAACTACTTAAACTTTACTAGCTTAAAGGTTTCCATCTTTATTTTATGACTTGGGGGGGGGGGGGGGGGGGGGGGGGGGGGGGTCCAAGGTATGATTCTGTCCCAAATCTTTCAAAAATGAAAATCCAACAACTTATATTTATCACAATATATAAATTCCCCAAACCCTGTGTTCTATCAAATCACACATAAAAACAAAACAGCATTTATGAGAAAGGGCGGCTTAAGCAGATGATTCAAAAGCTGTGCACCTGTAACCAGTGAAAAGCCAGTAACCGACTCCTGGACAGACAGCTCCCCAGGCAGGCTGGCACGGTTGCAGGGGACACGAAACAGACACAAATCTGTGTTTTTTTTTTCTTTTTCGTGACTGGTAAGGGTATCGCAACACTTGGCTTGGTGTTGCCCGCACCGCACTCAGCCAGTGAGCGCACCGGCCATTCCTATATAGGATCCGAACCCTCGGCGGGAGCGACGCTGCACTCCCAGCGCTGCACTCTCCCGAGTGCGCCATGGGGCTGGCCCAACACAAATCTGTTTTTGAGAGAAGCAGAAGTGCCACCTAGGTGCAGAGCAGCCCAGGTGCAGGCGTTCCTGTCCCTTTTCTCAACATGGAGCTAGGAGTTTCTGCTGGGCAGCTGCCAAACGAGTCAGTGAAGACTCTCCCCTTCCTGCTGAAAGTGACAGTCCTACTTCCACTGTCCCAGCTTCTCACTGCCTGTGCATGCTCGCCTGGGAAGAACAGGACTTAGCTCTCTGAGAGTTAGGAATGGATCAGGTTACAAAATTATTTTATACAACTACACAATAAATACTAACAACCCAACCAACTCACCTTTCAGTGGACTGAAGAAGTTGAAAAAGGACTCATTGGGCACTTGTTTAGTAATCGTCCTAACAGTGCCTCGACCCTTATGCTTCTGCTTTTTCTTGATGGTTTTGACTGTTACGTTTTTTCCTTTCTTCCAGTCAATGGTACACCTACAGGGACAAGACAGCTGTCAGGGCACACACTCCATGAGAAGAACTGATTACAAATGCACAGGAAGCAAACCACACCTCTATGCTCAACCTGGAAAATTTAATAAAACCAATCTGCAAACCAAGCACCACAGAGGCCCATGAAGTATATATGAAGGTTGGCAAAAGAGAAATGGCCCAGTCCTCTTTCATGTTGGGTGTCACTACTGCCTCAAGCTTGACACATCTGAAACAACAATGGCATTATTCTCCCAAGACATTTCATAAGGAGTCTGAAATGTTTTCTATGACAAAGCCTGGTCACATCTGCATGATGTGTAAAAACTTGTCACCTGCTGCTCTATGCCAGAGCACACCTCTCATGTACCCTAATTCTAAAGGCAACTAAGTGAGCAGGACAACCTGGAGAAAGTAAACAGGTGTCTGCTGCAAATACTGACGACCAGTGCAGAACACCTGCTTCCTAACTCTGATTCACCTCGGGCGGCCATAGGTAACACCTGACAGCATCTGAATACTGCCTGCTCAAGAACACCCTTGGAAGGGCCAGGTCATTTTCTCACATGACGGCCTGGCCCCAGGAAATGATCTTTCTACATTACGCCAGTCATTCCAGTCTAGCAAGTTTTTAATAAAGTTTGGAATTACTCATATGAGGAGATTTGTAATGATAAGCACTTGGTTCCAGTGAATAAAGATAATTGTTTCAATTCAAGGGTAAAACAATTTCCTAAACAGTCAAACCAACTGAAAGGAATTAATTCTAAACCAAATTCTCTCCTTGGTGATCTACAGACACTGAGATCAGTGAGAGTCAAACAGCAATTATGCTGTCCCTACCAATTTCCAAAGCAATCAACTGATTAATACTGACCTGCACTGACACATTCATTCAACAAATATTTACTTACAGAGGGTAATTTATTGGTTCAATTTTAAGAACTTCAATTTATGGCATCTAGAGAACCCAACCCCCTCAATAAAATGAGGAAATGGCACCAAAGACCCAAAACCTCTGCACCTGCAATGGCGTGATGTGTTTCCCAATTTCCGCCATCTAAGTTCCACACTGCAAGTATTCCCAAACTGAAGATTATTTAATTTAAATCTTTGTCTACTCTGCTTTCAAGCAGATTCAAGACTTTTACTTTATTCCTAATTTCTCTCTTACCCGTGGAGTTCTAAAATCATCTGCTTTTGTTCAGAAAAGTAAGTTAAAATGACATTTTCTTACCCTTCACAGTCAACGATTTCAGGACCTTCAAAGGAAAAGGGATCGGCCTTATCTGGCTCTGACTTCATCTTGTATGTTTTTGTCAGGACTGAATTGGTAAAGTAGTCGTTGGGTTCAAAGTGGAACTCTAATACAAAAGACTGAAAGCAGAAACGCATAGTAAGCACCAATTGAAAGTGACAGAGTTCATGAACCATGTGGCACCTACGGGAAATCAGCCACTCTCTCAGCATGATACCACAGGCACTCCTGCATTACTGAAATCGCACAGGCATCACCATGTGACAAGAAAAAGACCAGCATGAAGTCATAAACCAAATGAATGATGTATTTACCTGTTCAGTCCACGAGGGGGGCATGTTTCCCTCTTATAACTCCTCCCCAACAGGGTCAATCTTTCCTGGGAAGTGCTAGCTTCTCTCTGCTGCCCTCCTGCCTCACACGCCCAAGGGAGAGGCCAACAAGGGCTTGGGGTGAGGGGGCTGGGAGGAGAGACCAAACTCCTCCCCAACAGGGTCAATCTTTCCTGGGAAGTGCTAGCTTCTCTCTGCTGCCCTCCTATCTCACACGCCCAAGGGAGAGGCCAACAAGGGCTTGGGGTGAGGGGGCTGGGAGGAGAGACCAGGCCCAGCGGCCCAGCCCCTCCTACCCCTTTCCTCTTGGCCCCAGCCCCACCCTGCTGGCAGAACCTAGGGTCTGCACTCTGACAAGCAGTGACAGTGGCGATGACACAGAGAGGAAAGGACAAAAAGTTCACCCTTCACTTACACTCTACAGACGAGCACAACGGGAAAATAGAGGGTGCACAAGAAAGTGTGCATGAATACAAAAAAGAAGACACTCATGCCTACAGGCAAAAGAAAAATAAAATAGATGCCCCTTTTGGGGGTAAAATGTGCAAAATGTAATATAGTACTGGCTAGAGTTTTGGGATACTGGGTACTCTCACACACTGTAAGTAGATTTATAAAGGGCAATTTGACAATATCAAAAAATTAATTTAAAAAGCACATTCCTGAGTCAATATCCCTATTTTGAGGAACTTGCTCTATTTGAGGAAAATATCTGAAATGTATCAATATGTACAGGACAGTCACTCAGCTCTATTTACTTATAAAGGGAAAGGTGAGCTAAGTAATTTCTAGAGCTGTTAAGTGCTGTGTGGCCTCAGGAAGTCTCTGGATCTAGTTTCCTCATCTGTGCACTAGAAACACCAGTGCTTGGAGGGTCATACCATGCAAAGAGCAGCACATGGGCCAAGCAAAGTGGACAAACAAGGCTTTCTAAATGTGAGCTGTTCCCATTTTTACTGAATTGGTAAAATCATCAATTGGATGAAAAAACTTAAAAGACTAAAAAAATGCGAACAGCAAAACTTTCCTCAAAAAAGAAAAATTTACACACACGTGTACATATTCAGACAAGCCATGTGCACAAAGGAAGGGAAAAAATAACTCTCCAAGGAAGGGCCAAGACAGCAGATGCAGGGAGCAGGCCAGTTAGTTTCCAAAAAGGACAGCCACAGGGTCTAGCCAGTGCTCCACTGACCCTGGGGGGACTTGAGTGTGAAGCACACAGAGGTGAGGGAGGAAGCTGGTGGCAGGGACAAGGCGGCGGCTGCAAGGAACCAGAGCAGCACAGGAAACCACTCCGGTGCCTCTCCACCCACAGGGTTAGGAAAAAAAGACACCAGCACAGAGATGGATGGCACCAGCCAGTCCACGGAGAGACGCTGCCACTCCAGGACTGTCCAAGGCTGTGGCCATCACATGTGTCATGTGAGGGCACAGGGTGGGCCAACAAATAGCACTGTGACAACTGGTCCTTCTTCACCCCTATTTCGTACAGAGATAATTATTTTCTTCTTTCTCTCCCTAATTCCTCCACCAGCACTTCTCTGAACCATATTTCTTCATATTTCTATGTTTTTTTCCCCTCCCCTCTGCCTTTGTTCAATCAAGAGTAACCAAAACACAACTGGAGATGAATTGAGGGTGGCCTCATTCACACACACACGCACTACAGCTAGTAAGCCATATATATATAACCAAAACACCCGCTCTCAGTACCAGTTAAAGAAGTGTAAAATGCGGTCTTTCGTTTTGCCCAGCAGAGTAAATGTGACTGTGGGATCTCACCAACTGCCTGTGTGGTCAGAAGCTAACGAGGGGGAGTCTGGACAAAGACAGATGAGGATTCTATGTATTGTCGCTGCAACTCTGCTTTAAGTTTGAACCCATGTCAAAAGACAAAGTGGGGAAAAAAAGATTATTACAAAAGAAGTAGTATTAAAAAACACTGCCAGCAGGAATGTAAACTGAACGACCTCCGGGCTTTCTAAAGGTTCATCTCCTTTGACCCGGTAATGACACTAGAAGAAATCTGAACTAAGGAAATCATCATAAACTTAAACACAGATTTGGGTTCAAGTGTGCTGACCATAATGCAGCAATTTAGAAGGGGGAGGTGGTGGCACACTGGGGAACGTTAAATCATTTTACGGTCGATGGCTGCAGTAACGACAACTTCCCCCAGCTGAGCCTGCATGAGGCTGCGGGAGTGGGCACCGTTGCCTCTAGCGTCCGCCATGCAGGCGCAGCCTCTGGAGGGCAAGAAACGCAGAGCAGTCAGGGCACTGCAACACACGGACAGGCTTCCTCCTGAAGGTGGGTGGTCTTACTTTTCTTTGCAATCTTAATGTCTTAGATACTTCATAATAATGTAAAAAAGGAAAATGACTATGGGGAAATTCACTAAGCTGCTGAAAGGTACTTTCAGAAGATGGAGATTTGTAGTGTTCTTACACTTGCTTGCATTTCCTAAGATTTCTATCATAAGCACACATTACTTTTATGAGGGAAGTAAAAAGAAAAACAGATGACTGGCCCAAAGTCTACCACTACTAGGGCTCTAGTCAATGAGCCACCATGAAACGGAGGAAAAAAGATGGATGGGCCGAGAGAAGGAGAAACTGGCCCAAAGAGGGAAAAGTTAGTAAACGGAGACTGGATGAATCACAGGTAAGACAGACATGTGAGGAGAGAACAATCCTCCAACAGCACGTGTGTGTGCACGTGGTGGGGAAGAGAATTCACACAAACCACAGCAAACCACCCTGAGCTGCCCCAGGAGGCCTGCAAGGGGCACTGTACGACGGGGGAAGCGAGCCTTCTGGGATGGGAAGATGGCACTAAGAGGAAGGAACTGGCTGTAGCCCACATGGAGGAGCAAGGAGGCACCCCACCAGAGGACAGACCCCCAGCCTGTGGGCAGGCCTTACTCCTGGATCCCGGCGCCCATTCCCCCACCTACAGAGTAGCAGCTGAATGTCACCTCCCACAGTGGAACACAGATGGGAAAAAGCAGAAGGGACAGACATGTTACCCTCCCCCCAGGCATCACCTTCAGGACTTGCAATAAGGAAATCCCATGCACACTGGCCCTCGTCCATTAACCTGGGGCCCAGTACACTGAGGAGGGAAGGGAAGAAGAGACCCAGGTCCTTAACCCCCCTTCGAGGTCCCTAACCCACAGCCCCTCAACGCATTTGTTTCCAAGAACTGAAACTGAAAGCCACTGGTGGTCAGTCAGTCATGTGCCATTGGAAGTGCTGTAGCACTGGAATGGAGCCCCTTACCCACAGCCAGGTTAACCGGTCACGAACAGTGCATCCTGGGGGCCAGGCTGGGTTAGGACAGCCTCATCTCAAGGTCAGCAGGACACTGCTTCAGATCAAAGCAAGGGCTGACTTAAGTCAAGCTCATCTTACTAACAGCAGCAGATCCGCCCCACTAACATTACTAGTGTGAAGCTGCCCTACAGCAAGCATTTTGGAAAGAGATGTTTCATGACCAAGAGTAGGAAAACATTTTTCTGTTATACCTGCAATTATTTTTTTAGTGTAAAATCTAGTAGGTTCCTTTCATCACTATCTTGGATTTCTGTATAAGTGTTGCCTTGTATACACCTCCCATCGTTTAAAACTTTTAAAAAATATTATTAGATCCACGTGAGACACTTAGGATAAGTATGTTATCAGCCCCATCTGACCAAAGAAACAAAACCAAAAGACCCAGGCCTGGCACAGTGGACTCCACCACAGGTTTCACCACAGGAGTTGAAACCTGCCTGACACCTGTCGGCCACCAGCCAGCTCCGTGGCCTTGGAGCAGGTCTGTGTTACTTATCAAACTGTCCAGCTCAGAATCCCAAACCCAGAGCTGAATGAGGCACAGAAAGGCAATGTGGGACCAAGTCTAACTCTGGGTGACCAGTCTTGCTCTTGGCTGCCCAACAAATGAGCGACAGGGATAGATTTCTTGCCTCTGGCTCCAAGCCCTTTAGCCTTAGTGGCCTGACCCCTTCTGATGCCACCAGGAACTCGGTCAGTACTCACCATAGGCTGTCCAGGGTCTGAAAACTTCACTTTAATATCCTGCAGGTGTTTCAAGATTGGTTCATCGTATTCCTAACCAAAAAGAAAAAAAAATTCCAATGGTCTTTTTAAAAACAACACACATCTCATTGCCTACACTCCTGGATGTTGAATACAATTAGCCGTGTTGAAATTCTGTCCTTGTCAAGTAATAACTTCCAGGAAGCAACCAAATTAGTTCACAGACTATGGGTCCTAGCCGACTGCAGCGAGGTGCCAACTGTTAGCTGCCGACTTTCTCCGGCAGGAAACAATGGTGACCTTTGGCATCTGCCTGTCTTCAGTGCTGGGGCAAGGGCCCTTACTGTGTTCCTGCCACCAGGTGCCACTGCATACAAAAATCAGAAATGTCACCAAGACTGATGGTCCTCAGTACCTCAGGAGGCAGGGGCAGGAGCTTGGAAATCAGGAAAAACGGCTAGATCAGCTACTAGCCTTGACAGAGAAATTCCCTGCCTATGGCAATGAATACACAAAATCCACTACACACATGGTGACTTCTCCAGTAACACTTAGAAAGGTCTAACTTGGAGGCATTAGAGAGCTTACAACTCTTATATACAGCTGTGTGTTTTCACAAGTGATCATTACCTTAAACACTTTGCCAAACCTGTTGTTAGAAAGTCCGTGGGAGAAAGAAGAGGAATTACAGACTCAAATTCCCGGGGTAACACACGGGAGGGGCTTTGTTTGCAACACAAAGGCACTTCTTTACCCTAACATCTATAAACCTAAGAATTTCCTGAGATTCCATTAAGTTCTAAGAATCAAATCTGACAACTGCCCACGTCTCAATTTTAAGTTCTTTTGACATTGTAGAACAAAGCAAAAACAGCAACAAAAAAATACTTAGCAAGTCTCTGGACAAAAAAGAACCCAAAGGCAGTTTTGAAAGAAGGCCACACCAGCACGAGATGCCACGTCTTCAATGCCAGAGCCAGACGGCCCTGGGACCCGATGCTGCGTGCACCACCAACCCCATATGAACCCCCAGTTCTAAATTGCCACAATGAGTATTTTCACCAGCATGTTTTCCAAATAGCTGGCCCTGGGAACTTCAAACTTAGCCCAAAGGAGGAGTACACACTACGTTTTTCCAAAATTCATGAAATGATCATTATGCTCTTAATTTCCTCAGCCAGCCATGTACCCCAGAACAAGAATTTTATATAGCAATGGCCCACATTAGCAGACACTCAAAACTAAGGACCCAACAGCACAACACCGGAAGCATCTCAGAGACTTAGACCATAAAGCTGCTACCTCAAATTTTCAAAACTCTTAATTGCAGGAATATATTTTGACTGTCCCCAAATACATAACCAAAAAACCTGGAGTCAATCCCATCTTTAGGATTTAATGCTTGACCAAAATAGAACCTACCATTGCTCACTATCAGGTTATACACAGTACAAATGACACTCCCTCACTTTCTCTGCATATTGACTACTGCATAAACCTCAACCTATCTTTTCATAGCTTTTAAAACAAAAAGCATTAAGACACTTCATGGCTTCAATACCGAAGCACTGACACTAATATAGAAGTGTACCCCACTAAATTACAGTGACCCATGCCTCTGCGCTCCAAACTCCAAGAGAACCCCTGAATAAATAGCCACACTGATGCCTGAGTTACAAAAGAGCTGGCTGGATGGCCACACAGGACACCAGGAGCCAGCCACCCACTCAAGTCACTGAAAACCCCACACCATCACAACCACACTACTATTCACCACATGCCCCCACCCAACAGTGTGGGCATCACCGGGGCACATTAGAAATGCAGGCCCTCAGGCCCCACCCAGACCCACTCAATCAGAACCTGCACTTCCATGAGTTCTCCCACCCCCACTAAGAAGAACAACTACCTATGGAGCCAGTCTTTCCACTTGCTCCCCCCCAAGGGGGTTTTCAGCTCTTGGGGCACATTAGAATCCCAGGAGGACCTTCTGAAAACCCCTCCAAATTCTCTCTGACACAGTGGCAGTGGGGGAGGCAATGATATGGCTCTTTAGTTTTAAAAGTTGCCCAGGTGATTCTAATATTCAGTTGTGCCACTCCGGAAGATACTATTCAATTCTTCCAACAAATTTCTAGGTCACGACATTCTTTTTAAAGTATGGTCTAATCTTAAATCCCACCTTTCCATATGAAAAGGAAGCTCAGATCAGGAAAACCAAGGCTACTCTATTTCAGATGCATCTCTGGTTTGGAAGGAAAGTAAGAAATGTGTGTTTTCCACCCATAGAGGATAAGCATTAAACATGGGAGGTAGCAGAAACATCAATGTAGTGAAAACTATTAAAAAAGTATTTGTAAAATCCTGTGCAAGTAATACTATAACTGTTTACAAGGGACAATAGCTGTGCTCCATGACATGAGAAACACTGTGTCAGGACAGGCACAGCTCGGAGCTGTATGGAGCAAGCCTAACTGCAGACGTGGCTGTGTCTGCAGACTCTGGAGCAGTGAGAGAATCAACGCAGCAAGTCAGCCCCGAGACTTAGGGCAGGACGTGTTTCTGTATTCTAGAAACTCCTGCTGTAACTCATTTCAGAGAAAGTCAACTTTTAATTAGTTCACCATTTCATTACAGAAAAGCTAACAAGGTAAGACAAAAGCAGAAAGGTTGGCCATTCCTCTCTTTCTAAAAAAGTGACTTTTTATGAGAAATCATCAGAAATTATTAGCAGCTTGTTATATATTTATGCAACTCGCAAGGCTACACAACAGGCCCATTTCAAGTATCAAGAACATACTGAGAAGTGCATGTGCGTGTACCTGTCTACACACACAGGGCTTGTCTCTTCAAAAGTAATTCCACTCTCATCTCTTGTCCTCATACTTTCTGCTTGTTCACACCATGAGAGATGGAGATGGGGGTACTGAAACTACTCACAAGCTTTCTGAGGCCAAGGCCACAGACCTTTATAGGGGTAAACAACTACAGGAGGTAAACCGAACTGATTCACAAGCATGGGATCAGAGTTGCTAGCTGTTTCCCAAGAACTGCACGACAGCGCATGGAGGCCCCACCAGTGAACCAACCTTCCCTGAGACCAGCACTGCTCACCTGAGTTCCTGCTCACAGAAAGTACCTTTCCAGCCACCGTGAACACCCCTAGACACTCAGTTAAATAGTCTTTAAATAACAGATAAGTAATTTTAGAAGACCACCATAAACTCTATGAGGTAGATGTAGCTCACCTGCACTAATTCACTTAGCATATCTACATTTCTGAAGATGGTAAACCAGAACTCCGGAATTCCTTTGGGATTTGGTTCTTCAGCTGCTGCAGCTTCTTTTTCTGCTATGACTACTTTACTTTTCATGTCTCCCTAAAAAAAAGATGCAAAACAGAGTATTTCTCACGGAAAAAGGAATTTACCATAACTCAACAGCTCAATGCAGAATTTCAGAATCCTATACCAGCTTCTATCAAAAATCCTTCTTCTAGGCCGGCACGTGGCTCACTTGGTAGAGTGCAGTGCTGATAACACCAAGGCCACGGGTTCGGATCCTATATAGGGATGGCCGGTTTGCTCACTGGCTGAGCGTGGTGCTGACAACACCAAGCCAAGGGTTGAGATCCCCTTACCGGTCATCTTTAAAAAAAAATAAAAAAAAAAAAAAATCCTTCTTCTTTGAGTCTACATCTCCAAAACTAATGTGCACGTGACACTTTCAGATGTTCTTGAGGGAAAAAGCATTCGGGGCATTACATCCAGATGTAATTCCATGATATAATTTCATATCGAGGGGGTAAAAAGCTAATGAGATGGCAAAATGCCACCAAATTTGGAAAAGGCAGTCCAGGGCTGGCTCTGGGAGATGCCCCTCTTGGGATAACCACCCGTCAATAGATGCAGACTCTGAAGACTTGGCATCAGTCCTAAGGAGATGCAACACAGATTTGCAGAACACCACTACTATTTAGGTGAAAAAAAAATCCAGTTCAAGGATAATCAAGTTCACTTGAACTAAGAATCTGACCTCTGGTTACAATGGAGGGAGGGGAGAGTTGAAGTTAATGTTTGCTGCAGCTGTGTCTTTAGCAACAAGAAACTTCTCAGCAATTTGCATGTCCAGCTAGGAGACAGCTATAAATGCAGACACGCAGGCAGCATGCAAGTATCAGTCTGGGGCCCGGAGTCTTTTATAAACACCACAGCCTTAGGAAAAACGCGGACAGACGCGTGTGAAATTCTGAATGCTGTGTCAAACGGGTCTGCCACCATGAAACAGTCCTGTAGGGCTTTTTCTTTTCTTTCTTTTTTTTTTTTTTAAAGATGACTGGTAAGGGGATCTTAACCCTTGACTTGGTGTTGTAAGCACCACGCTCTCCCGAGTGAGCCAACCGGCCATCCCTATACAGGGATCTGAACCCGTGACCTTGGTGTTATCAGCACCACACTCTCCTGAGTGAGCCACAGGCTGGCCCTGTAGGGCTTTTTAAATTAACAAGGGGCTGGCTGGTTAGCTCAGGTTGTTAGAGTGCAATGTTATAACACCAAGGTCAAGGATTCAGATCCCCTTACCAATCAGCACCCCCCCCCAATTAAATTATTTAATCAACAAAGGCAGATTTTTCTGAGTTGTAAGGAACAGATTCACAGCTACAATGATCCACAGCCATGGCTTCAACTAGGCCAGGCTCCACATATATTTAAAAAAATCAAAAACATATATGGCTTCCAAAATTAATATACATCTCAAAAAAAAAACCCTAAAAGTTAATGCTGCAGGATAAAAGCTACCTGTCTCCCAAACATAAAATCAGGCTGACAAAGTTAACCTTGTGGTATGCTGGGACATCCATGGCACTGGAATGAAACCTATCACCAGAAAAAGGCTGTAGGAAGCTGACGGACAGGGCAAATCACCGCAATGACCAGTAATTTACCAGTCTAGAGATGCACTTTGGCTACGTATATTTAACAAAGCATACATCACCTTCCCTGAGCAGGATGGCACAAACGTTTCCAATACACCCTCCTCAGCACAACACTCCCAATCTCCCAGGGACTGAGAACACGGGCAGACCTCTCCCCTTGTTGACCTCTGCTTTCTCTCAATTAAAATGTTCACTGATTGGGCCGAGCCCGTGGCGCACTCGGGAGAGTGTGGCGCTGGGAGCGCAATAGCGCTCCCGCCGCGGCTTCAGATCTTATATAGGGATGACCGGTGCGCTCCCAGCGCTCACTGGCTGAGCGCGGTGCAGCCAGTCTCAAAAAGGACAAAAAAAACAAAAAAAAATGTTCACTGATTTTTTTTTGGCTGGGGTGGAGGGAGATTGACTGGTATGGGGATATGAAGCCATGACTTTGGTGTTACCTGCACCTGTTCTTCCAAGTGAGCTAACCAGCCAGACCTGTTTACTGACATTTTCCTCTTTGTTCGTCAGATCCTTCATTCAATATACTACTGCAGACAGATAACCGAGGAGGGGGCTGTGTCTCACTCATCACATAACTGACAGTAATGTGTCAGACACCAGCCGGCATCGTAGAGGAACCTGAACAGCCAGCCTCAGAAGAAAGGAGCACCTCCTCTGTAGCTCTCTTCTTCAGAAAGTTTTATCCATGATTAAAAACCATAAAAAAAAAAAAGTTCCCATTCCTAATGGCATTAAAACAGAACACAAGCTGCACTCATCTTCAAGACACTCACAGCCAGCTCCTCCTCCTCCTCGTTCTCGCTGTGCCACTCTGACTCCGCGTCTGTTGGCTCAACATCACCAGTGATGAATTCTCTTCTCTACGCAAAACGAGACCTTATTAGAATCGTGTTGGGTTATTTGGAAACTCAAGAGTTAGGATGAGTTAATAAATAATGTCTATAAAAAGACTCTGAAAACTGGACATTTTTGTAACTTAGTTGAAGATTCTAAGCTTGATTCACTGGGTAAACCTGGATGTTTATGTGGAAGATACCAACATTAACAAAGGAAACGTTTCCACAGGGCCTAACTTATAGCTTTGTGGGGCCACAGCCCTCTAGTTTAAGGAATAGCCTAACCTTTTAGTACGGCACATAGAAATGCTTAGCTTGGGAAAAACAGAAAACTTTCCCAGAACTAAAGTCTCTGTTGTAGATTAAAAAATTGTAACAGTAAAAATGCCTGCTCTAAGGGCAGTCATCCTTGGTGCAGCTAAACCTAGTGATGGGAAAGTATGTGAGCGAAAGGCTTCGAGGCTGATGGTTGGGGGATGTTCCTCATCTCATCTTCAGCCGTTTCTTTTGAGTTTCTTAGGGAACTAAGTGTTGCCATGACAATTATCTCGTTCTTTCTGTAACCACCTGTGTTCCTTTTCTGTAACTTTCTTGCCTGGACAATAAAAACTGAGAGAAAACCTAATTCAGGATTATTTCCTAGGAATGCTTCTCTCTTGAAAGAATTATTCCTGGGATTAACCCCTTCTGGGCCACTCACTGCTCTGGAAAAATGGGCTTTTGATTAATCCTTTGCGTTCCCGTCACCCTGGGAGAGGTGACATGTTTACCTAATGGAAGATTTAAAATATACTAATCAAATTTATTCACAGAGTTCCCCACCTTGTCAAAGAGAGGCTGGTACAATGCTGCATACTTTCTTTCCAAGTCATGAACTTCTTCATAGAACTTGGCTTCTATATGAGCACATCTCACCTGAAGTTGTTTCAATGCGTTAATTCTTCTTTTTACTGCTTTAGGTAAACTAAAAGAGGAAATAGGAAATAAAACATTCGTGTGCTTGCAAATTAAGGCAGTCTTATTCAATAAATTTAGGTTAACATAGAATTAACATCCTTACTATAAAAAAGAGCTCCTAAAAACCATTTAAAAAGGACAAATACCCCAACAGAAAAAAAGGGCATAAGGGAGGAAGCTGAAAAGATAATTCACAAAAGAAAAAACAAAAATCTCCAGGCATGAAGAAAGGTTCAGCCTTATAAAATATCCCCCCCAAAATGCAAATTTATATGAACTGTCACCCTTTCCTTACCAAATTGGAGATTAAGAAAACAAAACACTTGCCTATGATGAGGCCAAGGAAGCCCTGACTCATTCATCCTCTTCAAGGGCAGAGAAGAACCCTGAAAATGTCCTTTGTATTCAGTAATTCTACCTCTAAGAATTTATCCTAATGAAATAACTAGATATTTATGCCACAATGTCCACTGATGTACTGTTCGCAAAAGTGAAAAACGAAACAATGACGCGTTGAACAGGATCCAAACACAGCCTGTCCATAATCATGTTGTCTGGGAATGTTTGGTGCCACGTGGAAGTCCTCGTGTTAACACACACCAAGGGAAAAACCTGAGGAACATACACCAGGAAAGTTTGTTCTCTTCTAGAGTCAGATCAATCATGAGTTTCTTTGTCTTTTGTTTCTGTTCTGTATTAAAACAAAACCAAAAACAAAAAGACATGAAATTTAAAGCCCTTGGTCACAATCATGTGGAACAAAGAGAGGGATCCTGGGCCTCATCACAGACTCAAATAATCACCCTGAGGTGGGCCCTGGGTGCTGCACTTCAGACACTCACGCACATGGACCAGTCCCGAAGTGTGCAACCAGCACAAGCAGAAGCTCTTCCTCACCCTCTAACAATAGACAGCCCAGAGTAGCAGGCAACTCACACACACCACCATTTGGAAAGTACTGGAATAACAGCCTTGAATCCTAACAGATCACTGACCTGGGATAATCACATCTATGGCTACCCCAAGGTAAGGTCCTAACCAAAGACTCCCAGCTGGTATTTAACATTCTAAGACTACTGCAAACAGACAGGAGCAAGGGAAAAGTAGCATAAAAATTTAATCGTGGGAGGGAGGAATTGGTAAGGGGACACGAAAATCAACTACACTGTATATTGATAAAACAAATCTTTTTTAAAAAGAGACATCAAAAAAAAAATTTTAATGAAGTGGCAGCTGCACAGACATCTGTACACCTTTCCACAATTTTAAATTAGTTTTTACATTTCTGAAGTCTTCCCACTGGAGCAAAAACAACAAAGGATTCTAAGCAAACTGAGCCCCAGCACCCTCCACAGCAGCCCTTCAATCGTCTACTCCAACCACACTCCATCCTCCCCACAGGCACTTCTTGCACAGCCAGGCCAGTGTGAAGCCAGCTCTGTTCCCACAACAACTTGTCCCTCCCGCAGCTCCTCTCAGTGGACCCCACCACTCGCCCGGTTTCTAAAGCCAGAAGACTAGAGACCATCATTCACTCTCAGCTCCTGACACTCATACTCCATTCCATCAATTTAATCTACAAAAAAATGTACCACAAAACCTAACCAAGTAATCCCCAGAGAAGCCTTTAAATGGGCAAAAGCAAACCCCAAGTGTCCCCTCCCCTCAGGAATAGCCCTGAGCAGGGAACCAGTGTCGAGGGAAAGCCATTCTATGAGACCAAGCCCTGACCTGACTGTAGATGAGGTCCAGGAGGAAGACAGGCAGTCCCTGAGCAGAGCCGTCCTAGGATCCCAGGATGAGCATCTCTGTCATTGTTACCATGCAACAAAACTAGGACACAGACCTCTCATGAAAAAGCAAAGGTGTTGGTGTCACAGACTCATGTAGACTAGCCAGGGAAGACTAGCCAAATCACTTGTAGTTAACTTAGGAGCCACCAGAAACAGAAAACATCTTGTTCTCAGCCAACTCCTCCTCCTCCTGCCCAACTCAGATGATCTGTAGAGTCCTCCAAACCTCCACACGATGGCACCATGCACTCCCCATCAGACAACTCGACAGACTGCATTAATCCCTCCACCAGACAAACTGAGCCCAAGCACAGCACAGTGTCACTCACCTCTGACCCCAGTGCCTGGCTGTCATCAGGCACTGCCTGCGTAACAAAAAACACATTTATTCCTATTCTAAAGAACAGGAAAATGGCTTTTGTCTTTGTTTTAATTTTGTTTCTTAAAGTTGCATCATATATTATTGCAGCATACTTACGTTTCAATGTAGCTGGAAGGAGTGTGAGAGACATTGTCAAGTCGCTCCTGTAGAGCTGCCAAAACTTGAGGATTCTGCATCACCTGATCTGTGAGCTTTTCTAATGAGTTAAAAATAAGACCAAAAATATTTAAAATATGCCCACCACAGAATAGTCGAGTGGAAAATTACCAACATGTATCTATGTAGCTTTGATTAGCTACCTTCATTTCTATATGTAGCCAGTAACTTCTTAAAAACATCTGTTTTGAAAATAACTAAAATTTATTTTAAAAGCATTTAATACTCCATGTTAATCACCTAAGTGGGTGGTTACAAATCTTCTGAAGGGACACCGAGATTCTTGGTTGTCACCTATAGCTGTGTAGGCCCCAACCTCACAACTGAGGACAACATGAATTGCTAAGTTCAGGTGGGCTACCTTACCTCTCTCCCCAAGTCCCATAGTGGTGTCCAGACGCCAAGGACATGGATGAGATGGATCAGTTCCTCAAAATAAAACAGCACCCACTTGTGGCCCAGCTCACTTCCAAGCCGTGACTTCACAGTCCAGGAAAGCTCTGTTCTTGCAAGCTCCCTGGTAGCACTGTACTTTCACGTTTTCTGTGCCCAACTTGCTGACAATGCCTTGAATGCCCTTCTGTCCAATCCTGCCTCCTCCACGATGCACTCCCTGACAATCCTTCTCCCCTTACAGCTTATTCCCATTTGTACTTAACTTATAATACTAAGTTGCTTGTATCTAGAAATCCACTTCCCAATAAACAAATGAGATGTGGAGCGGATGTAACTGTCCTTTCTCTCAACTGTGACTATGGAGTGGTATGATACCTGGCTCATGGCAAAGACTCTAAATGTTTCTTGAACAATTTCCCTCTTAATGATATAATACGAAACCCAAACATGGCACCCTTTCTTCACTCAAAAGGCAATGCCCGTCTGGGAGTTCTCCCTGACGTGGGCAAGCTGAGCACCCCAAGTGTTCAGTCGACTTTACTATCCAGAATCACAAACACAACCAACACGAAGCACTGTGTATCTGCACGTGATGTGTGTAATTTTGTATATATAAAACTGTATACCTGTACAGTATATAAATACTACATGTATATACAGACACACATCTCTAGCTCTGTCCCCTGAAAGGACCTGGGAATAATGACATCTAGCATCTGTATTTTGGTTTCTAAGCATCTTTCCCCACTGAAAGGAACAGGGCCCCAAATAGCAGACTCCAGGTCTGGGGCAAGGACAGCTCAGGGTAAGATGGAACATCACATTGTGCTACAAAGCTACCAAAACTCAAAAATTGGTGGGGACATGTCAAAAGAACTCAGAAGCTGGCTTGAAGGGACTCCCCCGACCAAATGGGACAATTTGTATGCCAAAAAGAATAATGATGGCAACTGAAAACACGCTGAATAAAATAACCCACGAGTCTACAGCAGCACTAAAGTAAGGGGAGGGAAGGCTCTTCTTTAACACGTGGTGCATGGTAGGATTGGCAGAATTAGACAAACATCTTTTTGCAACCACCAGTACCATTACTGATCCAGGCAAGGACCATCAACAGGTGTTCAAACTGCCGTGCAAGTCTGAAGGAGAAGAGGACACCTGTGCATGCCCAACAGATTGCCTCAAGGTCAAAGCACCTGAACAACAGAGAAGCCTGGCAGACACCACCTTAACCAAGTTGTCTTTCTTAGTGTCCTCTGAGTCAGGGGCCTGGTTGACACCACATGCCTCCTGAACCACATCACCTGTGTGCCATGCTTGCCACAGTGTTTACCCTGAATCTCATCAGGAGGAAACGACCAGACAAATCCAGATTGTGGGCTTTCTACAAGACAACCATGGCCCAGAGTGTTCTGATGTGTCAATGCAATGACAGATAAAACAGACATGTGGGGATGTGACTCTAGAACAAAGGAGATACAACTAAACACAAAGCAAGATCCCAGACTAGTCGTCCCTAGACCTGGATGTGGGGCAAAAAGATCAGCTGAAAAAACCAGGGACGCATGAACATGACTGCATGTTGTATAACAGCACTGTATCAATGTTAAGTTTACTGGTGTGGTAATGGCACTGTGGTTATAAGAAATCATCCTAGCTTTCAGGAAATTTACACTAAATGGTTTTAGGCAAAAAGAGTCAAAATATCCACAATTTGTTTTCAAACAGTTCAGGAGGAGGAAAAAGTATGCACATACACACTTTCTAATGGGGGAAAGATTATCACATCTATAAATTTACTGATAAAATGATAATCCTGGGATCTGCTTCAAACAACCAGGGAGGGGAAGTTAAATGTATAGATAAAAAAGACTGGTCAGGGGCTGGCCAGTTAGCTCAGTTGGTTAGCACAACCTTGCAACACCAAGCTCAATGGTTTGGTTCTCCCTAATGGCCAGCAGCCAAAAAAATAAAAATAAAGGAATTTTTAAAAAGACCAGTCACTTGTGAACTAATGCTAAAGCTGAGAGATGGCAGGTACAGGAGGTGTACCGTACTATTCTCTTTACTTCTGTAGCCTGAATTTCCTATAATAAAAACATTTTTAAATGAGGTAATGATTTTCATTTTAACTACTCTTAACTTTCCCCCAATCTCTGAAGTGTAGTAATCCTTTATGGCATTATTATAATGGTTCCCACCCCGCATGCAGACCCTGCAGCCATGACTTCTCTCACGCACACAGTGAACTGACCTGCATCACCACTTGCATTTTTAGCAGTCTCCACGGAATCTGAAGGAACCCCATCTGAAAAACTAGAACATTATGTTTAAAAAGTGCTACTGTAAAACAGTTCCAAAAACAAACAGCATAAATGGTCATTTTTCTTATTCCTTCAATATATTAAGGGGTGTCTGTCTCTACAATGACTTCAGATCTGGGTGGAGGAGAACTACTGACACACTCTGTGTCTCATCAAACAGATACTTACTTTCCTTTCTGTTATTGAAAAAATATTCTAACACATAACATCCCCCTGTTCACTGCTAACACACACGCCACCCTACAGTTTAATTTCCAGCCCAAACCAAAGCTTCTTAGTTTTCATTTCTACAACTTCTTTTCTCACAAAATCTGCTTCCAACCCTCAAAACAAACCAACCAAACAAAAAATATGCCACTGTCTGGTCAGCTGCTCTGCGATCAAAGCAAAACACTCTTACCAAGTCAAGGCAGTGCCCACAGCGGCTCTGTAAGGGAAGCTTGCAAAGTCTCCAAAACCATGAGACTTCGTGAGAACAGACCCAACACTTTTCAAAGATTTCTGGACACACCCCCCTCCTCAAAAAAAACCATCAAGTAATGCACAGAAACAAAAGTAATCTTCAATCTGAATACAAAAAGTTTCACTTGGACCACCTGTGGCTACAGAATGTTAGAATGAAGTTAATCACACGATTTCACCCTGGGGGCAGGGCCACTATGCTTCAGGATCAAAGACTGCTTTCCACAAAAGGCTTTAAGTATCAATATTTGAGACCCTTCATGTCCCAAGCAATTTCTTTATGGGTTTAAATACAGAGATAGAAACGAGCCACCAGCTAGAGCTTGAAATGCATGTAACTTTGATCCTAGCGATGTTTAGGCTTGGCCCTTGCTCACCAAGTCTTACACTCCAACAGACAAAGTCCATTCAGCTTACCTGTTATCTGCCATCTGAAGGTTTTTACCACCTACGAATTAAAAAGAGTTACAATAATTATATTCACAAACAAAAATATTTGTTCAAATATACTCTTTAGCAGTGACAGTCATCTAGGGGATGGAGATCCACTAGAAGGGGCAGGAGAGAATTTCCTGGGGCAATCAAAATGTCCCAGACCTTGACTGAGGTTACTTGGGTACACACATTTGTCAAAACTCATTAATTATACACTTAGGATCTGTGCATTTCATTACTTGCAAATTTTACTCATAAAAATGTCTCTTACTGGCACTAAAATGACTGGACCTCAGAATAAGAACAAGTAATCAATTCTAATTTGCCTTATCTCTGTAATAAATTTTAGCAACAGAAACATACATTAATGCTAGCCCAATTACAGAGTAATTCAAACTACTTACTGGTGCTTACGTTGTCTTTCACAAACTAACTTGCAGGATGATTTTCCAATTTTGTTTATTCTGTACTTTCTACACTAAAGGCATACTGCTTGTGTAAAAACATGTAATATACTCAGTCTGATCCCACTTTTATAAGACATATATTAAAAATGACTATCTCTCTCTCTCTCTCTCTTTTTTTTTTTTTTTTTGTCCTTTTTTTTTGAGACCGGCCGCACCGCACTCAGCCAGTGAGCGCTGTGAGTGCACCGGTTATCCCTATATAGGATCCGAACCCGTGGAGGGAGCGCTGCCACGCTCCTAGCGCTGCACCCTCCCAAGTGCGCCACGGGCTCGGCCCAAAAATGACTATCTCTTTAAAAAGTGATATAATCTCCTGAGCTAACTGGGGCGGTGGGGGGACTCGGCCACACCCCCACAACACCCACAACCAGCCTAGCAACAACCACCTAGCCACCGCAAGTAGTGCCCTGTAGCACCCCAGGCTCCCAAGCTGGGGCGATGGAGGGGCGAGGGCTTCAGTCAGCCACACTGCCCTGAATTCTGCACCCAGCCCAGCAATGACCAAGACACCGCTGGAAGCCCCCTAGTCTCCCCTGCAGGAATGAAGGGAGGTGCCACAGGCCTCAATCCTACCCCTCCTCCTCCCTCCTTCTCCCACCCTATTTCCTTCCTCCTTCCCTTCTTCCCCTTCCCCCAACTGCTCTGCAACATTGTAGAACGTAAAATAATATTAATAAATAAACTTTTTAAAAAAGTGATACAAACAATAAAAAAACTAAAAAAAAAATTATCTGTAGACGTCTATATAGAATTAGGCAACTTTTTTTTTTTGGCAGCTGGCCTATACAGGGATCCGAATGACTTTCTACCTATGAATATTAAAGATAGATTCTAGAGCATTTACTACTTAAATAGAAGAACTTGATTATAATAAAATTTCAAAACCCAATCTAACTGCATTCAAAGTAACATCTAAATGCATAGCTTAAAATGGTCCCTAAATGTAAAATAAAATTGAGGAGTGGTTATGAAGCTTCTTAAACTGAGATGTAGTAAATACACTTGAGACCTTCTCTGAAAGGCTGTTTCAGCTGTAAACTAGTTAATGTTCATTCTTGGGTATTTGAGCAAAGCCCAACCATTCAATCCCAAAGCTTATGGTAAAACAAAACAACAACAACAAAAACTTTGTACTGAGATAAATAGCTCCAGGGGGTGCTCAGTTGGTTAGAATGTGAAGCTGTTAACACCAAAGTCCAGGGTTCAATCCCTGTGCCAGACACACTCCCACCCCAAACAAAACAAAAATAGCTCCAATTAGAATTTACAATCTACAATTGTTTTGTATTTAACTCAACTGCATTTTTCCTTTTATTTAGGTTTTTACTGTTTCAAAATAAAACATGCTAATTATTTTTAAAATTCAAAATACTACAGAAGCATTACATTCTCTGTTTCAAAAAAAATTAAATTAAAAGTAACGCAACAGGGCCGGCCCGGTGGCGCACTGCTATAGGTGGCAGCGCTCCCGCCGAGGGTTCGGATCCCACATACAGACCGGTTCCCACTCACTGGCTGAGCGAGGGGCGGGCGCAGCACCGAGGGTTGCAATCCCGTTGCCGGTCCCGGTCCGGTACGGGCGCGACACTGAGGGTTGCGGTCCGTTGCCGGACACGGAAAAAAAAAAAAAAGTAATGCAACAAATGCTCCAATGGCTGGCCACGCTCACACCACCATGCTAGCGTTATCCAAACCCAGCCCTTCATCAAGGATGGTTTAAAAACCCTCCAGGGGTTCCCACAGCTTTCAGCAGAGTTCAAACTCATTCCACACAGAATCCAAATTCCTATAATTTCCAGCCCTGTCTACCTCACCATGCTCATTCCCAGCTCATGCTCCTTGTACATGTCTACTGCACTCACAGTGTTCCCAAGTTCATAATCTGCTTTTTCTCACATTACAAATGCAAGGTAGGTCTTCATAATGTTTGATGACAATATTCTAAAAGCTAACACACATTTTACCTGCTGTTAAGTACTGAGGTAGGTTTTTTCTATTATATACCTTTAATAATATCTCTATGAACATCTTAGTTTATATGGCTTCCCACCCCCTGGTTATTCCTAATTTACATGGCAATTATAGAATTGCCATGGTAGGGATTCTAGTCAAAGGGCATGAATGAATCCTGATACATATGGCCAAACTGATTACACGATGACATCAACTATAATATGGCTACATAATTAAAGCTCTCAAAAGCCTAACAAGTATATCTAATAGCACTAGACTACACACTCCTTAATTGCTGAAGAGTCCGCTATCCTGGAAGCAGCTTTCACTGCCAGTTTAATGTACAGACTCTCATTTTCACCACCCAATCAATAATCCCTAATAAAGCCTCACAATTTGCAACAAGTCCCATACTAGCAAGAGACCTATGTGCCAGACACTTCGTACACTGTATTTTTGAGCGGCTGGCCATTATAGGGATCTGAACCCCTGACCTAGGTGTTGCTAGCACCACACTATCCCAAGTGAGCTAACCACTTCATACATTTTATGCTCAATCAGCTCTACCAGGGAGGGACTGTCCTCAGTTCATAGAAGGAAGCTGAGGCCTGGAAAGGTAAGATGCTTAATCCAAGCTCACACGGCTAGTAAGACATGCATGTGGGGGCCGGCCCGGTGGCGCACTGCTACAGTGTGCCCATGGCGGCGCTCCCGCCGAGAGTTCGGATCCCACATACAGACCAGTTCCCGCTCACTGGCTGAGCGAGGTGCAGGCACAACACCGAGGGTCGCGATCCCGTTGCTGGTCCCGGTCCGGTACGGGCGCGACACTGAGGGTTGCATCCGTTGCCGGACACGAAAAAAGACAAAAAAGGAAAAAAAAAAAAGACATGCATGTGGATGTCAAATCCAGACCCTCCTGACCTCCCCCCCACCACCACCACCAGTCATTCCACTCCTTGCTGCTTTTACCTGCTCAATCACAGATGATGCCACTTGAACACAGGACAAGCAACAGTTTATTCGGGCCAGAATCCTGCTGTTCAGCAGCATGCCCCAAAAATTCACTGTGTCTAGAAACAGAGTGTGAAAATATCCCCTTTCTATCCTGTTCACTATGTGGTCCAGAACCCGTAACAGCTCCAGGCACAAGTACCTGCTGAACACATAAACACCTTATTTCAAGACATAGGCCAAAGAGCTTCGCCTTTCAATGGAATGACACCTACTCCAACTTAATAGATTCCATTCATACAAAGACTCGATTTTCGTGTATGTGAAGGCATGGGCTGTTTATTATTATTTCTGGTGATATGATGTCGAATGAAGTGAAACTCGTCAAAATATTATCAAAAAAAAAGTGCTAAATCAAGGATAGAAAGAGAAAAACAAAATAATAAATTTAAACAGTGGGAAAAAGAATAATTTTGAGGACTAAAAAAAACAACCACCACCCAACCCAGAACTCAATGCCCAGAACAGAGTAGACACAATGAACAATCTGCTTTGATCTGGGTTTGAATTCTGCCCCTATCATTTCCTCTGCACCTCAGTTTCATCTTCCATGACTGGAAGACAGGACTTACCCAAGAAGTCAATATGAAAACACAAGAGCATGCCAGGTCTCTCCACTTCTAACTGAAATAAGCACGCACACTATTCTACCTACTGCTTGACATGAAACCACAAATCAAGTTACTTTAAACACTGCTCCCTTTCTATAAGAAAAAATTATGAAGAGTTCAATTGGTTCAATTAGCTAGAGTTCAATTAGTCAAGTTTCATCACCACAAATTATTTACTTTTGTTTAGCAATCCCTAACACTATCAAAATAGAAAAGTTATAAGGAACTATCAAATTTGTGGGTTTGAGAAAAATAAACATACATTTGTTTTAAATGCTGATATGCTGACTTTAATATTTGTTTTATGAAACCAGAGTCCCAAGCCTCATCAGGAAGGCTCTCCTACTTTTAAAAGGCAATCAAGAGATCTACTGTACAACATGGTGACTGCAGCTGGCAACACTGTGTTGTACACTTCAGAATAGCTGAAAGTAGACTTTAAGTGTTCTCACCACACACAAGTATGTGAGGTAATGCATGTTAAATAGCTGACTTAGCCATTCCACAAAACCACATGTTGTATACCATAAATACATACAGTTTTTACTTGCCAATTAAAATACTAAATAATAATAAAGAATAAACAAAAAGGCAATCAAGTTAAATTATGAAAGGGACACCAAGCAAAAGAACTTTCTAAATTGTCAAAAGAACGCAGCAGTTCAGGTTCCCTCACAAGGTCAATAACTTTTATGTGTCTACAATTCTAAACCTGGATTGGCAAGCAAATTTCCATGATTACACAAATGAATGTCCTGCTTTTATTTAAGACACCACAACAAGCCTATTTATAGATTAATTTCCTTTTACTCCAAACCAAAAAACTGTTTTCATGGAGAAAAATTTTTAATTTTTGTAGCAAATTATCTATTCTAACTTTACATTCCTAATATTTATCTGAAAACATTTAGTCTACAGGTAGATAATTTCAAATTATAACTACATAATTTTTAATTGAGCCACTTTTG